TCCCTCTCTCTGGTCTCCAGCAGACCAGGGAGAGGAAGCAAAGCGGCGGAACACGCGGCCAGCTGACAGCCCAGACGCGTCTGGGCTGTCCGCGTGTTCCGCCGCTTTGCTTCCTCTCCCTGGTCTGCTGGAGACCAGGGAGAGGGAGGGCCCCGTTCGTAACTGCGGATCCGACATAAGTCGGATCCGCGTAACTCGGGGACTGCCTGTATATTTCTAATGAGATCATCAACAATTGGAATAATTGACCGAGGGTCATAGTGGATTCTCTATCACAATTTTAAAACCAAGACTGTTTTTTAAGAGATTTTTTTTAGGGATTTTAGAAAATACCCTATTTTGGAATTACTTTGGCACAGTTCTGTGGCTTTGTTATGGGGGTCAGCCTAAATAATCACAATGGCTATATTTTGATACTAGTCAAGGTTCAGTTTTTCTAACTGTAACAGAGGTACAATTTGATTTGGGGTTAGATTTGCCTACTGAAGCAAGAGAAAGTGATTTGCTGAGACAGATTACGTTCAGTTTAACGCCTTCTCAACTCTGTGCTGCCAAGCACACAAATACTACTTTTTTGCCAAAGGAAAAAATCCCCACCAGGAATTATACAGCATCAAACACTAAACTTAAGGGAATGCTATTTAAGTACCTACTATATTTCTAGAAGGATTAACTGAGAAATCTTTACTTCAAAAAGCAACAACCGCAACATGGAAAAACCTCCAAAGTAGGCACCAGATGCAGATGTGTAGAGAGTCTACTCTGGTGCCCAGCACAAGAGGACAGATTGAGAAAGGAGTTTAAATGTGCCCTGAAAGTGGAACAGAAGTCCATCTCCAACAGCAGTGGTTCCCAACCTTTTTATATCGTGGACTGGCAAACTTGTTCAAAAACTTTTGGTGGACCTGCACTGAAATTATTTGCATATTCATTATGGTAATTAATTTTAAGCTGCTGCATGCTATTTTACATTGCATCTGTATGCACACAACACGTCATTGCGTGGCTGGGAAGATCAAAATCAGACATTGTTAAACAGATGGCATGCTTTGCAGAATAGCTCTGGTTTTCACTAATTTTTTGAGAGAGGCAAAGGGGTTCGGCAGGTAGGGCAGGAGAAGGGGGGCTGTGGCCAAGAGGAATCATAGAACTGGAAGAGACCTCAGAAGGTCATCAAGTCCAGCCCCCTGTTCTAGGCAGGACCAATCCCAACTAAATCAACCCAGACAGGGCTTTGTCAAGCCGAGACTTAAACACAGGGATGGAGGCTCCACTACTTCCCTAGGTTACCCATTCCAGTGCTTCACCACCCTCCTAGTGAAATAGATTTTCCTAATATCCAACATGGACCTCTCCCACCACAACTTGAGACCATTGCTTCTTGTTCTACCATCTGTCACTAAACAGAGGGAATGAAAAGGGGGACCCAGCCAGGGAGAGGCGGGGCTGAAAGCGGCGGAGCGCTGATGCTGGCTCGGAGGGCTTCTCCTGCCTTGTCCTCTTACCCCACCCCAGCCGCCTGAGTAGTGGTGGCCCCTGCTCAGCCCCAACTGTCCTGCCAGGGCTCTCGAAGCAAGCTCCGGCTCCGGAGCAGCCCTGCTCCACCATGCAGCCCTGCCATCCAGGCTATGTGGCTGCCACAGAGCTAGAACTGGGGCCATAGTGAGGCTGCCCTGGAAGGGACAAGGGCAGCCTCAGCGTGGCCCCGCTCCAGTCATACCATATGGCTGGGGGCATAGCCTGGCAGAGTGCCACAGTCCATGGGTGGTTGGGAACCACTGTCCTACAGCAATGGGTGCTGTATGCTACCACTGGTGAAGAGAAGAGGAGCTACTCAGCATTTTAGTGACCAGAAGCATCTTTTCTTCTCTTAGCTCTTGCGAAGCCCAACAATGCTTTTCCCTGATGACTTCTTAGAGCACTCATCAAGTTTGCAACTCTACCCATCACAGGACTGGTTGCTGCCTTGCCTGGAACTGCTGCCTACAGGGAGGAGGGCCCAGAAAAGGTTTTTATAAACATTTGGAATAGTGTATAAAAACAACAAAACTTTAGCATAAAAAAATGAAACGTTGCAAAAAGCTGTGCCCACTAGTAAGTAAACCTAATACTTGACACTGCTTCATCCAACTGCCTGCTCCTGTGAGAACACTGGTTACCGGGAGGTCCTAGATTGTTACTAGTTTGAGATAACAAGTATAAAAACTCTTTATTTTACTTCCTCCCTAACCCCTTAAGGCCTCAGGTTATCTCAATCTGCCTTCTAAATGGCACCAACCTGTACTACTATATCTTTCATATAGTCATATTCTTCTGGATGTAGAAAGGCAGTGAATTCTTCCTTGGTAGCAATCAAGTCTCCATCCTTGTCAGCCATTTTAAACCTTCGTTCATCCCTCACCATCATCTGCTTGTAGTTGAACCCATCATCAGGGTCTGGGTCATCTGGGCAGAAAAAGATAAGTTATACCCATTTTAGACTCCAAAGCTCATTCATGAAACAATTGCACCACTGTTGCATGTCAAATGTTCCTTCTGCTCTTGACTAGGGACTTCACAAGGCTTGTGTCAGAAAAGCCCAAGCATTGTATATCCAAGGGTTACAGTGAAAACTCATTAGGGCTCAGATTTTGCATGAAATGGAAAAGATCTCCATTGATTCTACATTTTAACAGAGGGGCATCCTGAAGATGGCTTCTCAGAGGAGGCCACTTTGATCAGGATAAACATTGCATTCTGATAGCTCATGGGCTGTGTGCTCTGTGTTAAAGGTGAGAGATTTTTCCTACTCCTGGAGTTGAACACGTAATGGGATAATACTTCCCCACTGAAATGCAGCAACACTGCTGACAGCCTAAATCTAGATACTGAGATGTTCCTCCCTCCTTGGTCCCCCATAAGTTTTGGGTAGGGATGTTAACTAACGTGTATTTGTGTAAATGTACATTTTTATATTAGAATGTTTATATTATGTAATATTTTTATATTAAATTACTACTGGATTTAAGTGGTTACACGTTTACACATGGGGAGCAGGCAGATCCACAGAAGCTGATAAGCGTGGGGAGCCTGCTTGAAAGTTGCTTCCTGCGTGTACCAGCTCCCTTCCTTGCCCATGCTGGTGCCTCTCTATCAGAGGCAGCAGCGCAGTGGGGAGGCAGGGGGGAGACCCTCCATGGGAACTGGTGCTCCCCCATCACTGCTGCTTGTGTGGGAGGCAGGGAGGGGGAGGGAGAGGAAGCAGGCAGCTCTGCGAGAGGCAGCAAGGAGGAGGGGGGACTGTGTGTAGTCGTAAGTATTAAATGATAAGCCCAGGCTTATTGGTTAATAGAGTAAATAACTACACACTAACATCTCTAGTTCTAAGGGTCTATTAGCGTGATTAAATTTAAGTAGACTTCAGTAATTTAATATAAAAATTATACAACTATTTATGGGCCCATGTTTGTAGCACGGTATTTTAATTAACAGTGAATACTTGAGGAAAAAGTATTTAATTACTAAAATAGCAACACCACACAGGTGCTCCTTTGTCCACAGAGTAATAATCATATCCTAGGCTAACAAAAGCCCAATTTAGAGTTTATTTAGTTCAGAATGTGGTTACCACCTTGTGAACATGAAACATTAATTTAAAGAAGGACACTTTAAAACTCTGATATTAGGCAAATGTTAAAAGTAAAGCAGTACAAGGAAGTTTGAGCCGGTGAATGCACATCCAGTTGTGACAGGCTGGTGGCTAAATGAAGCAGAAACACTACGGTCTCAAGCTTTACAATGGGCTGGTTCAGATCCCATCTGTTGCGACTGCAGCAAATGGCACCTTCAATTCAAGTTGTGAGGTCACCAGCCACAAGCTAATTGTTACATGGAGAAGTATAAGGAGGAAATCCCTTTGAAGTGCAATTTAAAATACAAGGTTGACTGCTTGAAGAAACACATCTGTAATAACCATGTGCTTTAATTAAAGGCAAATTAAAGGAAGCAAATAAGCTAGCTTGTTTTTTGTTTGTTTTTCTGTGTCCTCATGCCATGCTACACTGGTGCTTTAGTAAAATACCTGCACAGGTTGGCACAAAAAATTCTATGCTTGTAAACAAGTGAAAATTAAGACTCTCCAAAAAAATCAGCGTTAAAAAGTTATACATCAAGCCAAGACTTGGTGATCTGCAGTGACTTGCTTTAATTCCACTGTGTCTTAGAACTTCTCGGAGCAAGGCCACAACAGAAACAGATGTAGAAAACATTCAGGGAATGTAGGTACTAAAATTCAGGTCAATTAAAGTGGCACCATTAACACTGCAGCAGCACTGTCCAGGGTTGTTCTTTAGTGCTTCATCTGGCCCGCTCGAGAGTCCTTACATCTAACAGCTCCAACCAGAGATGGAAGAGAATGCAGATCCACAACTGTTAAAGAACAATTGCTGTTTATGAGCGACATACCAGCAAGGCCTGGCGCAGGTTCTGTGCCAGCACATGAAGTTGGTGCCATTTAGAGCCAATATTAAACATAAGCAAAGAATCCAATGGCCTTGTTCCTTAACAAGGACATCAGATCATAATCTAAGCAAGTGTGCTATGTCTGTTTAGTGTATCATCGTGCATGGTTTGGGTACACAGAAATGCCCTTTGCATTTAGTGATGTATGCTAAAGCATGGAACATGCAGAGGCTTACCGCACACTACTCAAATGTAGCAGTGAAGTGACCGGCATGATTTGATTTAGATGACAAAAATCTAATTTAAGAAAATACTCAAACAAGGGCCATAAAGAGCTGAAGTAAAGAGAATGATGTCTCAAGCCCATGCAATATGGAAGATGTAAGTTCTCAATTAGGATCTGTTAATTTCCCAGCTGTGCATTAAACATGAGAGAGGCATTGCCAATAGGGATGTGAACAGGTATCTGGTAAGCATCACACTTAACAGGTGATGCTAACCAAGTAACGGTTAATGGGCTGCCCAGGAGCAGCCCCCCCCACACGAGGCTGGAAGTTGCAGCCCAGGGGAGGGGCAGCCTCACACAGGGCAGGAAATGGCAGCTGCAGGGAGAAGAGGGGATAGGAGCCAGCAGCTCAGTTTGGGGTCAGAAGCAGCCCCTGCCCGCCCTGGTTAACTTAACATTTAACCAGCAAACTAATTAAATAGGATTTTCCAGCCTCATTTCCAAATTTGTTCATGCCAGACAAAGGTAAAACAGCTTTTCACAGTAGACAAGAAGACTGCTGAAATAGAACTTATTAACGTATTATGGAAAAGTATTGACTTTTTATACCGAAGTGGAAAGCCAAGCTATTACACATACATGAGACAGACCGCTGTAGCTATGAAAGGAAGCAGTAGAAACATTTTGAGTGCATTACTTTTTCTTCATTAGGACAATTAAAAAATATACCGGCAGAGACAGGTGTCCAATCCAACTGCATGGGCTTCAGAAAAAGCCATAAAAGCCCTCACGATGACCCAAGATAGTTTTTCTATACTTAACAAACGATCTTGGGATAGCCCAGGGCCAGAGAAAAGTGCTGTGATTGCATCAGAAATCCAGTCTTTTCACTTTCTAGTTAGTGGTATAAGGCTTATTTCTAGCTCTACAAGGTCACTGGATCTTTGATCTTAATCAGTCTTTGGTGCTGGACTGAACACTATCTTGAATTTAACAGGTTACTTAAGTGGAGGGGAAAGGCACAAAGCTCATATTTGTCTCAAACTGCTCAGCAGAGTGAAGTGACAAACAGCCTTGGAGGGATATGAATTAGCCAGAAGAAAGCAATGAAGATGCGGCATAAATGACGACATGCTTTCAAAATGTACTGTGAAAGTCCACAAATACTCACATTGCTCTGAAAAATGTATTCCATCATACCGCATCTGTATGCAATGCAGGTTACAAGTTCCTTTGCTAGTCTTCATTCTGCCCCGTCCCTACAGAACAGTCCCCTTCCCCATTCCTCCCTTCAAAAGCCTCCAGAGCTGCTGTCAATCATCTCCTCACAGCTGCCAGCCTCTACTTCTTGGTAAACCAGATCTAGTCCCTATTTCATAGGGCTGCCACCCAAAAAAAGGAGAGGCCCCCACTGGAAGTGGGGAGTATGCAGAGAATAGAAGAGGAGATAAAACACCCATTTTTTTCATTCAAAGTTGTAGCTCTTGTTAAAAGCCAAGCTCACCAAGCTTTATACAGAGACAACATACAAAGTGCCTTGCTACAGTCTGGCTGCGTTTGCATAGCCACATATATATTTCTGCAGATGCTGAAGGGTGCCAGTGGATAAATATTGCTAGAGAAAAGCTTTAGAGCTTCAAGTGGGATATTACAAGCAATGGAGAGTTAAACTAAACGTTAAACAAAGGATATGCCCAGGAGCCTTGAATTAAACCATCCAGATTACTGTTCAGACTGAATTTTAGATTAGGCTTTTAAATTAAAATGCATCAATAAAGCAGAGTTACAAAGCTGCATTTTCATAAATACTTCAGCTTTTAAGATTTTTCTGCATGCTTGCCAATTTCACATGGCTCTCTCACTAATGCGAAGGAAAAGATTGCTACCCAGTTGAATCTCACTGCAGCAAGAGCGCTCCATGCTCGGTGTTGTATCATACTTCTGCTTTATTGATTAGAGACGGTGTCTGCAGGTTTGACATCTTGCCCCTTACCCAGGTAAGTGCCATATGTCACGTTTCTGTACTCATCCCAGGAGATTAATCCATCTTGATTCATGTCAAACTCCTGCCACTGGCGTTCGACATTGTCATACATGTACTTCTTCTGGGACTTCTTAATCCAGGCTTTCAGCTCCCCCTCGGTCACAAACCCATCCTTATCCGTGTCTATTTTATCTACAATCATTCTACAAGACAAAACAGCAAGTTTCAAGGAGCCAGCTCCACAAAGCTTTTACCCCAAGAACAAAGACCTACCTAAGATGTAGCCGTAGGTGGCATTTTTATACTCTTCCCAGGAAATGAGGCCGTCCTCATTGAGGTCATGCCCCTTCCACTGGCGCTCTACATCCTCGTAAATCCAGCGTTTTTGTGCAAATTTAATCCAGTTTTTGAGTTCCTCCACAGTTACAAACCCGTCCTTGTCTTCATCTATTTTACTTACAATTTTTCTGTAGAAAATGCAGAAAAATGCGGGAAAAGTTAAGGGAAATAAGGCCCTTTCCACGCAGCAGAGCAGCGCATTTTAACTGATGGCACCATTATGCAGGAGCGAACAAGTGAATATCAAACTGTAAGCCAGCAAATTACCAAAAGCTGTTTTTCCATGGTGGAAAACACTTTTGCCAGCTGCACACTTTTAGACGGTAATTTACCCGATTGCTGTAGACTGATTTGTTGATTCAAGGTAGAGGATACGTAGTTTAACCTCAGCATGCACAGGCTACCGGAATACTGACTTGTTCATTCCTAAGATTCCGTTTTTATATTCTTCATGAAAAGTATTTCTTTTACTACCGAATCGTCCATCCTTCGTTAGTCTAGAACAGGGATGGGCAATCAGGAATGGTGGGTAGGCTGCATGAATGGCTCTCCTTCACCTCAGTGGGCAGCAGCAACCCGTGGCCCACTGGGGTGCTACCTGTGGCCCCATGGCTCTCCTTTTTGCACCTCTCTTGCACTGGGGCACAGGAGGCCTGCATTCCTATGTCTCTTCCTCCCTCCCAGAACTTTTGGAGTGCCATAAATCAGCTGATTCGTGGTGTTCCAGTTCTGAGAGGGAGGGGGAGGAACAGGGATGGAGCGCAAATCAGGCAATTTGAAGTCTCCAAAAGTGCTGGGTGGCGGGGGGTGGAGGTGGTAAGAAAGTTCCGGGGCCTGGGGCTTGAGAGGCATGTGGAAGTGTGTGTGTCTGGGGGAAGAGTAGCTAGGGGGTCTGTGGGACGCAGTTGGAGCCCCAGTGGGCTGCATCTGGCCTGTGGGCCCCAGGCTGACCACAACTCGATTAGAAATAATCTGGTTGACAAAGCTGTGACAGACACATATGATATGCTTAAACTTCTGTAGTAACACTTTCTAATGAATCAGCCCAACTGATAATGAACATCTTTCAAGCCACTGACTTTCCTTCCCCAAGGAAGCATAAACGGATAAACAATTCAGCAGTGTTTTATGCATTCAGACTACAATGCATTCAATGTCAATAGAAAACATACTAGAAGATTTGCTCTGTGTCTGGTTTAAAACTGTAGGAATGTAGCATCCATTGTTTAATCCCCTCAATTCATACAATATTCAGCATCTCACTGAGTATATTCTTTCTGGAAATACGAACGTTAGCCAAAAGCTTATGAAGACTAATTAACGGTCAAATTCAGCTCACAGTAGGAGTCTTTCCATTTACTGCAAATTAAAGTAAAACTAACCGAGCTCAAAACTTTGTATCAGTGACTCATTTTGTAGATGAAGCTGTCAAACAATCCAAGTGGGGTGGGATTTGGCTCTAAACTTTGGAGCATCAAGCTGTCAGGGTTGTGCATTTTGGTGGATTCCTAGAATTTCAGCAATATTGGTCTAGCCTAGAATAACTTTGTAATCCTCCTGTCAGAGGCACTCAGCTTTGAGGAATCTAAGAACTAAGTCACTGAATGGAGTTGCAGAGAGCTGCAAAACAGTAGCTGCATAATGCTCTGATCTTCTTGCCTAAGGATGTCATATCATCATTAAGGCTAGTGGTTTGTGATATTATATGCTAAGTCACAGTATTATCAGGACAAAAAAAAGCATGGTTTTACAGAAAAAAAATTCCAGAGACATATGCTTGAAATATTTTAATCAAACTCTTACTTTTTAAATACTATGTTAAAATCATTTAACTAATAGTTTTAGTTCATCCATACCTGGAGCCATGATAAGCCAGTGGCTCTAGTTCATGGTCTGAGCCTCCCTGTGGAATATATTTTAACCTGGGCAGCTATTTAGTCTTTAGTCTTGGTTCTATTATTTAATACCATCTCCACCTACCTGCAGGTATGACTCTCAAATTGGAAGTCAGAGATACTTTTAAAATCATGAATCATGGAACTCTTCACAGTCATAAGAAAAATGCAGCTTCACCACATATTGACGTGCAATGCATCACAGCACAAGATGTGATGCTGAAGTTATTTTATGATTCTTTACAACTAACACTTCCCTTTCTTTCTCAATTAATGCCTGGCCTGCTGGAATGGACAGACTTCATAAGAATCCAATTACCTCAGCACTCCCCTCACTGCCTCCTGTCAGGCACCTTATGAAATGCCCCTTAAGCCTACACTCCACTTTCAGATCCAGCAGAGTACAAGGACCTGTTCCACATATATTGGTGAGTGTCCCTAAGAATTGCATGTTAAGTTGCATGTGGCTCTAATCGTGGCTGAACTTTTCAGCTGACAATGTGAAGGCCCCAGAAAAGCAGTGACTTCAGAGAACAGCTAAAAGCAGTGCTAGAAAAGCTCCAAAACAAGAACCTTCTCAACTCCAAAAGTTGTGCTCTTTCAACGACACACACAAACTAGCTTTCCACAAAAATCAGTTTTAGTGGTACGTTATGAGTGACCAAGAACAATACCAGTTCAGATTCAAGAGTGATGAAAGCGTCTTGTATTAAACTAGGAAAAATGGTATATCTAAGGGACGAGTGGATTGAAATACTCATTCTGATATTTTTAAAGGAATGAAATTTTATCCTAATTCACTATTTCAGTGGTTCTCATATTTTTTGGGCTCCGGAGCCCTTTACATGCGTAAAAATTTATGCGGAACCCCAGTGGTCCATTGATTGTATGTGTTGTACCTATCAATGTTTCCAGTCTGTCAACCTCGTGGAGCCCTGGAGATGTCTTGTGGAGCACAGTTTGAGAAATACTGCACTATTTCATTGCCAGTTTTTTCTAGCCAGTAATTTAGCAGAACCACAAAATGAAAATGCAAAACAATGATGAAACTTAAAGGCTAGAAAAACAATGCAACCTGCAAAGAGGATCTCTTGCGTACTTCTGCATTCTGTAACCAGCTTTGAGTTCCTCATTTCTCTTGCACTTGCTCATGCTCTAGAAACTGAGCATCTTGATCTTCCCCATTAGAATACTTCCTTCAGAAAAGCAACAACAGCAATCTTGATTTACAACTGACAGCCCTAGAAAAGCTTGCTATACAACATGAAGAGCAACACTAATTCAGAAAAAAAAATGTCATTGCCTCAAATACTGGGAGCTAAGCACTTTGGAGTCATGAAAAAAAATGTCATTGGTACAGTGAAACACTAAGGCATGATTTCTAAGGCAGTCTTTTGCTCCTTGAAATGAGTGCACCATAAAGCGGCACCATATTAATTCCAAGCAGAAGGCAATCATTTTCTCATGACAAAGAGACAACCCCTTCATGCCTTCTTCAATAACCTTCTAATCCACTATTCCTCAGCCTTAAAGAGCATGACTGTGCCAAGCACTTGAGGCTGGGGATGTAGATTTTAAAATTAGGAAAAACTCCACAGACATGCTACTGTAGAAATGTCCACTTTTAAGAAAAAACTCCTTTCTCTGAATAGTAGATTAGTGTCAGGGACAGAATACTAGGCTAAAATGGATCACTGAATGCAGTGTAATTATAACAGTGTTTGTCCCAGGAAATTAGAAAAAGCTGGTTCAGAAGCAGCTATTACCTCACCCAAATGGATCTTTGGCCGATACAGGTTGCAACTCTATAAACGGGAACACTCTGGTCCAGCAATACCCATGGTCTGGAAAGACCATGGATGTTCCAGGATCAGAGAGTCCCAGTGTGTTTTGGGGGGTGGGGAACTGGTGCAATGGTGGAAGTGCAAGGGTTGCACAGCCCAGGTGTGCTGCGGGGGGCTGGGAGCTGGCACACAGCTCAGCTGGGTTGCCGAGGGGGAGGGAGGAGGAGACAAAGTCTAGGGAGAGGGGGCAGAGCAGGAGGTGGGTCTGGCAAGAGGTGGGCCAGAAATTACCTCTCCTGGTCCAACAAAATCCCTTATCCAGGACCCAAAGGTGCTAGACCAGGGAGGTCCAACCTGTACAGCATGACATTACCTATTTTCCTACCATCAGGATTCCTTTAGGAAATGAGACAGACAACAGAAGAAAAATACAGTGGAAGTGACCTAACATGCAGTAATCTCATAATCGGCTTATAAAACAAAACAATCTTCCCCCACTCAATCTCTGCAGCATGAACATTCCATCTCTGTGCAAAGCATAGGCCATATAATCACCACCTCAAGCATGTCTCCAAAGCCAGCTGATTGGCATTTGCTTTTGTTTGTCACTTAGAGCCACTTCCCCAAAATGCTTCTGTCTTATCTGTTTCCAGTGCATCTTTTTACATTTATGAGGCAAGAATTAAGCATGAGAACGAAACAGCTAAATTGATTAATCCAATTTCATTGCCAAGCTGAGGGGAAAAAAAACAAAGTGGAAAGTAAATTGCAAAATGCAATTTATGCTGTAATAACTTTACAAAGACATTTAAGTTTTAAACTTGATATATTCCTTTAAATAAAACTGAAAAATTAATATTAAAGTATCTGGCAAGTTAGTAAGGCTGTGTGCTGAGGCATGGTAGGCAGGGCTCTCACAAGTGCCACAGCTTTCTGTACTGGATAGGCTTATGCTTCGAAGTGTAAAACCAAATATAAACCACAGCACTGATAGGTGCAGCTATGTGACTCTTGGACAGAGGGGAATACCCTGTTACATCGAATAGTAAAAAATTGCTGCATCCCAGCTCTTACCATATCCTTCTCAAGGTCATATCCTGAAGCTGGCATTATCAATGGCAGCCAATTAGAGTAAAAGTAGTAAAAAAAATTAATTGAAAAATATCCTATTTTTATTTGCTTGTGTCAATGGATGTGGTTTTTTGTGTATTAGTTGCCTCCTAGATCAGAATTAATATGGCTAAAGAGCACAAAAGCTTCCAGTGGGTTTTAGTGATTCCTTAAGATAGAAGCCAAGCTTTGTTCAGCAACTTGCTAGAAATCTGTTACTTTAAACTGCAGGGAATGGAGCAAACAGCAAAGACACACTTGCTAGAAATCTGTTACTTTAAACTGTAGGGAATAGAGCAAACAACAAAGACATATATTTTGATTTATTTGTTGTACCAACCTGTAGTTCACTAGGTTCGTGGATATTGTAAGCCCAGCATGGTATTTTAAGTTGATATGAGAGGCAAGACCATAAAGCATGAGGAGATCTTTAAAATCCACAAGGAACAGTTCCATATATTAAAGATGAGGTGTGCTGCAGACAACCTGTAGCCTTGTGAAGTTATGTTTGGCTTGAAGACCACACTGGAGCTACTACTGATTTTTGAACCCCATTTTCAAGTTTTAAATTTAGAACATGTGTACCGAACAGTCATCTGGTATAGGAGAAATATCAATGAACTATCAACTGAGGCCCGTCATTGACTGGGTAAAGTCATTTTCCATAGATTGATGTGTACCGAACAGTCATCTGGTATAGGAGAAATATCAATGATCAACTAAGGCCCGTCGTTGACTGGGTAAAGTCATTTTGCATAGATTACAAATTAATCTACGCAATTAAATATATGTAATAGAAATTAAATATGTCATAGAATCTTTAATTAATGTGCTTGCAAATGGGAAGTAAAATTTCAACTTCAAACATTAATCATTTTATTGAATAATTACTATACACAGTAAATTTGAATCAGAAACTCGTCAAGTTTCCATTAGTCTTTCTGTAACTAATTTGAATTATTTTGTGATTTGTAACAGTAAAAATTTTCTTTGCACTATAATGAAAGTTGAATAGGCAACTCAATTTTAATTTTGTTAGAAAATATTTTTATGAACTCTAATCAATATAGTCATGACTTTTTTCCAATAAAAACAAAAATAATTATTTAAACTTTTCCTCCATCATATTCCAGTGTAAAAAGTAGTACATTCTGCTAATCTAAGTGGCAGGATTGTTTATGTAAAATTTAGTATTTGTAGATAATCCCAAAGTATGACTTTATTTTTCACAAACTAATCCACAAACAAACTCTTCAAAATATGTACAATTTGTGTTTTAGGATTACATTTCAAAGAATGGGAAATGTATTTTGTAAAATTCCAGATGAGAAAAACGTTAAGTAGTTCTTATCACAAATAGCTTTTTACTTTATAGATTCCTTACCCAAGTCTCTCCTTGCTCTCCTCTGGTGTCAGCTGGTCAAAGGTCTTGGCCTCATCGGCACCAAGAAAAGCATCATGGTCATAGTCAAAGTTCTGTCCATCATCATGGACCTTGTCACTGAGTTGTGGGTCATGGTGAATACGGTCCTTCTTGTCTGTGGGTTTGGTCAGGACACAGACCGCAAAAAGGGATAAGTACACAAGAAGCTGCTGACTGGTCATGACGATTCAAGATGAACCTTTGAGATATGAATAGATAAGTTATTTATGGCTTTGCCTCTCCTAAGATATTAAGTCAGATTCAACATTCTGTGTTTGATAATGAAAGATGGATGGATATAAGCATAGGAACCAGGAATTTCTCTCCCACCTTTTCATTTTGTTCTGCCTTGCCCCATGGATTACAAGCAGATACTCCCGCCATGGTACTAGGAAACTGTTATGCTCTTCTTTATACAGGAGATAAGCAATCACCCCCTACACCGGAGGAGAAGTCCCGTACCCTCAAGGCTGGGAGGTCTGCTGCCACCACTGCAAATAGGAAACGCAGGGTAGTGGTGGTCGGAGACTCTCTTCTGAGGGGGATGGAGGCGCCCATATGTCACCCTGACATTTCATCTCGGGAGGTATGCTGTCTGCCGGGGGCCCGTATCCGAGATGTTACGGAGGCATTGTCGAGGATTATCCGGCCCTCTGACTACTACCCCACGCTACTCATCCATGCGCCCATATGTCTCCCTGACATTTCATCTCGGGAGGTATGCTGTCTGCCGAGGGCCCGTATCCGAGATGTTACGGAGGCATTGTCGAGGATTATCCGGCCCTCTGACTACTACCCCACGCTACTCATCCATGTGGGCACTAATGATACTGTGAGGTGTGACACTGAGCGGATCAAGAGTGACTACAGGGCTCTGGGAGTATGGGTGAGAGAGTCTGGAATGCAGGTGGTATTGTCTTCGATCCTTCCTGTCGAAGGTAGAGGCCAGGGCAGAGACAGGGGCATCCTGGAGGTGAATGCCTGGCTGCGAAGATGGTATCACCAGCAG